ACTGATCTGCTAACCGTTATGCTATGCTCACGTGTTCTGATAATAATAGCTTTCTAGGACTAAACATTATTTGGAAAATTTTTAAAAAAAAAAAAACAAGGTTAAATATCTTAACCCTACTTTTAGACCTACCTGAAAAACTAAAAAGCAATTTATTTAATTCGAAGGCCTGTCGTTATTTTTTATTTGTGCTATCATTATTAATTTCTTTATTTGTTCTTATTTTATTACTGACTGCTTGCTTGTCATTTTTTATTCAGTTCAAAGTTTGAAATCAAGCTACTGCACCAAAATCTCGTGCTACTGCACCAAAATTACCCCACTGTAAAATAAAATTTTTTTTTTGAGATAGCTAGTGGTAAATAAATAATGTTTACATATGAATAAAAGCCTACATTAAAATCTGTCATATTAATTGGTCTCTTCAATAGAAATTAGCCTACTGATTGTCACCATTGATGGACAAAAATGTTTAATAATATTAAAAATATCTGTATGACATTATATTCTGCAGTTCTTCCCTGTTGTACCGAATATCTATACTTTTCAAATTATCATATCGAAGTTAGAAATTCAAATATTGTGACAAAATTAATTTTGTAGAGTGCCACAAGTTTGTTAAAATTTCCAAAGGGTGCCGCGACTAAAGAAAGGTTGGGAAACACTGAGCTACTGAATCCAATAATGAAAAGGAATTTAAAAAAAATCTCTAATGTTGGCTGATAACCGACATGTCACCTGGACTGATTTAAAAAAAATAATAATAATTTTTTATAATTGCTTGTATTTGCAAGAACGAATGTAATCATGTATGTATATTCTCATCCTTTAGTTTAAAATTGTTCTGTCTTCATGAAATAATGTAGTTAGTTTATATGAATGTATTATGTAACATGCTAGAAGGAGCATTTCTCATCTCTTTTGTTCTTATTTATTGTTTTCCTGAAAATGTACCTGCTTATGGTTTTAGGAGCTTTCTGGAGGGTAGTGTTTTGGGTAACGGTGCCTTGCTGGGGGCAGAGGAGCTCGACCGCTACTTCCCAGAGAGACGGCTCGGTATCTACGTGGCCACATGGAACATGCAGGGAGAGAAGGTGTTGAACAATACTGTCATTTCGAATGATTTGTTTGTTTAAGTGCATAGCAGCTGTAGCCTAAGCTCTTTCTCTTGGTCTCAGGGGCTTCCATGCAACCTTGATGATCTGCTGCTCCCAACCGACACAGACTTTGCACAGGACGTCTATGTTATAGGAGTTCAGGAAGGGTGTCCGGATAGGTAAGACTTTGAGCTGCTTTTCACAGGGTTTTTTATGTCTGTTTCTGATACTCAGCACATTTACTCTCTTCATGTTTGTCCACAGGAGGGAGTGGGAGATCCGTCTGCAGGAAACACTTGGGCCGTATTACGTGATGCTGTACGCAGCAGCCCATGGCGTTCTCTATCTCACTGTATTTGTCAGGAGAGACCTCATATGGTTCTGTTCAGGTAAAGCTTTTTTTCTTCAAATTAAAATGATATAATATATGTTGTGCACTACTGTTCAAAAGTTTAGGGTCAGCAGGATTTTTTAATGTTTTGAAAGAAGTCTCTTATGCTCACCAAGGCTGCATTTATTTGATCAAAAATACAGTAAAACAGTGAAACTGTCTTTTTTGCCGTTACAGAGGTGGAACATGCTACAGTTACAACCAGAATTATATCTCAGATTAAGACTAAAGGAGCTGTGGGTATCGGCTTTACTTTCTTCGGGACATCCTTCCTATTTATTACATCCCATTTCACTTGTAAGTGGAATTTTTTAAACAACCCAGTTATATAAACTATAAATAAACCCAACCATCTTTGTATTTGTCTCAGCTGGAGATTCTAAAGTATATGAGAGGATCTTAGATTACAACAAAATCATAGAAGCTTTGGCTCTTCCTAGAAACCTCCCAGATACAAACCCATACCGCTCCACAACATGTGAGTGTTTCTGCATTTGTCACATTTGTCATATATAGTGTATTTATTTTTCGGTGAATGATCAAATTTGCCACTCATTCTCAGCTGATGTCACAACCCGTTTTGATGAGGTCTTCTGGTTTGGAGATTTTAATTTCCGCCTGAATAAAGCCAGAGGTGAGGTGGAGGCCATTTTGAATCAGGTTATGGGCGCAGATATGAGCCCACTATTACAGCATGACCAGCTGCTGAAAGAGATGAAAGAAGGCAAGTTAGATGCAAAATTACGGTCCTGTGTAATTTATGCATATGCTCCCTTCAAGGAAAAATACGAATTCTTTAACAGGAAGAATCTGTCTTTGTGCATTTGCAGGTTCCATTTTTAAAGGGTTTCAGGAAGCATCTATATACTTTCCTCCTACATACAAGTTTGACATTGGTTGTGACGTCTATGACACCACCACAAAGCAGAGAACACCCTCATTTACAGTAAGCTTTTTTGCTAATTGCATAATGATAATGCATCACTACATACCCTTTAGTACAGTTGTTGATTTTTCCTCATTTGTTGACAGGACCGGATTCTTTATCGAAACAGACAAGCAGATGACATTAAAGTGGTCAAGTATATGTCTTGCTTGTCCATTAAGACATCAGATCACCGGCCTGTCATCGGCATGTTTCAGGTCAAACTGCGTCCAGGTCGAGATAAGTAAGCGTCTTTATTCAATGATTTTAACGGTTGCACTTGCACTTGTTTCTTCTAATTGGATAGTTATCTAGAAAAGTAGTTAAAGGGTTGGTTTATCCGAAAATGAAAATTCTGTCATTATTTACTCACCTTCATGTTGTTCATCTTAATGTTGTTAATTTTAGAAACACAGATGTAGATATATTTAATAAAACCTGAGATTTCTGTTCATCTATGTCACCAAAACTATCATAGTTTTAAAAATGTCATAAAGACATTGTAAAAGTAATCCATATGAGTCGGTTTAATTCAAGTCTTCTTAAGAGACATGATGGCTTTAAATGTTGATTTAATTTAGGGTATGTTACCCATATTTAACCCTCTTGTGCGCTTCATTGGAGTGGTACGAAACTTGGTAAAGGTTTTGGCACTTGCTATGTGAACACAAAAAGAAAAAAGTCATGGGCATAATTCGAAAAGTTCAGATGCTCCTGAAAATAGTCACACTTGTATTTCCAGCAGCCAAAATTGTCTGCATTGAAAACGAATGGGAAATTTTTGAGATATCAACCTCAAATTTGGAACAACTTTTTTTATATTTTGATTTTCTTGTGTTTTTAGAGTAAAATATGTTTTGGTAAATATATATTTCATATACAATTTTAAAATAGTATTTTTGTGCATTTTTCATAATAATTAACATAATAAAATTATAAGAGACCAAGCTTAAGTCTGCTCCAAAGAATTCCAGCAGTTGGAAATGGAAATGTCATTTTCAGATCTACGCTGAAAAAGTGGTTAAGAGGTAATAAATGGATCATAACTATTGCATAAATAAAATTGAGAACCATAAAAAATATACCTAAAATACAAGGTATTAAATAAAACAGTATCAAACTAAAATATAGTATATTCATATCACTAAAATAAAAAAGGTCATTTTTGGGCTTCAGCATCAGGTTAAACACTGATCAAAGCACTTACATATAGTTCATGAGAAGCTAACTTCAAAAGTTTCATTGTATTTTGAAGATTAATGTTTGGGTGAACTAAACTTTTAACCAGTAGTTAACCAGATTCACTCTACATTCACATTCATGTAATTCTTGTATATTGATGTTACATGTTGCATTACAAAGATAATGACGCAAAAGCACTGGGTCCTGGGACACCTTCTACTGGCATTCTACAAAACAAACCACGTAATTTATTCTAGAAGACACAAGCTTTTCATCAATTTACGAAATGGAATGTTAATGTTTTGTGGTCTGTTCATGTTTCACAGGATGTTATTCGTGTAGGTTTGAGAAACCACTAAATCAGTGTATTATACTCCCCAGCATTCCTTTGGGTGCTGGCCAGTTTGATAGGAGCTTGTACCTAGAAGGAATCCGAAGGAGAATCACCAGGGAGCTGAAAAAGAGAGAGGCAGCCATGAAGAACCAGAATAACAGCACGGTTTGCACCATATCCTGATCGGGGACCAGTGTGTGAGAGCCGTAGGGTGATAAAACTGATCATTTCAAACACAGAGGTACTGACTTGGAAAGCTGGACTTTCAGGACCAAAGGATAACTCGGTATTACGGATGTCAAGTGCACAGTCCAGGGACTAAAAGACTGCGGCTGGACAGCTGGTACTATAAAATATTATAGAAATCTATAAAATATACTGACCGGAGTAAATGAAGTTAGCTGTACTGTACATCAGTTATTCCTAATCCATTTTTTAAATTTTCATATTCTGGTATTTAACTTGCAAGCCGAAACAGTCTCTTCTGTATATGGTTCCAACTGATAGTGTTTCATGGCCTTGTTAAACCATTAGCTCATCTTTAACTGATAACTGTAAACACATACCAGTACCAGGCAGCTCATTTGATTGGCTCCTGGATCATTTTTGAAGAGTTACTTAACAATTTGCTAACAGTTGTACTCTTTTATAAAAGGGAACCGTACTGTAGCATAATTACCAGCAAAATTTGGGAGAATTTGTGTTAGTTATTTTTATTGGTGGATTGTCATTGATAAGTCAATGTGGTATCATGTAGAGAGGCTGACCTTGGGTTCAATTGAGTGCAAAATCTAAGCGAGGAGGCACAGACTATACTTGCGTTTACTGCCTTAACATATCCAATATAATTCAGCTTACTTGATGTCAAGTGTGATAGATGTATGGGAGCTGGAACGACCATAGTATTGGTGTTGCTTGCGCATGGATCTCAGTGACTGTGGTGTAATAAGTCATGCATTCACATCATGAATTTCAGTTCTATTTGTACTGAAAGTGCCTGCGATCTTTCTCATGATTGCCTCAGTGACTTCAAGTACATTCTGCTGTTTAAAACCAAATAATAGCCTGTTATAAATGTTTATTTACTATGTAAAGTAATACAAAAACTCATACTTGAGGTGTTATTTCTTATTTGTTTCGGTTACACATTTTGGACCAAATGTGTACATGAAATAAATAATACAAAGGATCAAGCTTTTATTTTTTAAGGGAACATGAGAGTTTTTGCTCATTACAGTTTCAACCATTTCCATCTTAATAGGCAGCAATGGAAAAAATAATATATAACAGTAAACATGTACTGATGAAGTACAAGGGAATAAATATATTCTTGTAGGGTAATACAACACAAACCGCTAAACAGACATACATTAATCTGGCAAACAAACTCTTAATTAGTGATCAGAGGTTCATGTTAACAGTGATTTAGCAAGAGAAAACAGGATTATCATTCTGTACAGTGTTTTCACAGCAAGGGTAAGTGGTAGACCGCACAGTTTGTCATTCTGTTCAGATATTTCAATATACTGACTAAAGCATAAGGGTTTTGTAGAACTTTCTGAAAATTGGTATGTGATGTGTGAAATATCATTTGGGTTTGCCCAGTTTTACACAGAAAAGCACAGCCTATGAACAACAATGCAGAAATGTGAACAAATGCCATGGAAAAGTCCACTTGTCGAGCCAATTAAGATAGAAATGTGAAAGTAGCACATGTACATTAAACACATGGCGAATTCAACAAAATCATGCAAAATAATGCATTGGTGTGTGAATTTAAACTCGGCCAATTTCAAAATGGTCACTTAGACACCCTCATGTCATTACAAACCTTTCTTTCTTCTGCATAACAGAAAAGATATGTTCAAGAACCAAACCCATTAGAGCTCATTGACTTAATTTATAGACAAAAAAAAAAGACTTTTTTCAAAATATCTTCTTTTATGTTCCACAGTAGAATGTCCAACAGTTTTGAAATGACATGAGGGTGATTTTTGGGTCAACTATTGTTTTAAACTCACGTTTTAAGTACTTTATAGATGAAATACAACCACAGTCTAAGCATTGCACTTAAATTCCAGTCCAGAATGGCATTTGTTGGGTCAGTCCTCATATTTGCGTCTAGATGGTGCCAGCGGTCAGTCCTCTATCGGAACAGGCGGTATATGCGAGGCAGACGTCCGTCTTTACTAGAGAGAGCGGCTTGAATGTCCTCGTATGAGGGCAGCTCTGTCAGATCTCCCAGTGCTGCCACCGCAGGCTTACTACGCAGCATTTTCGTTGTAACTCTCTTGATGTCACTGGCTGTAATATTACCTAAAACAAAGAAAAGTAGGGGGGGAGGGGGGCAATTATTAAGTATGTACGCTACCGTTCAAAAGTTTTGGGGTCGGTAAGTTTTTGAAAGAAGACAGTCAAAAATATTTTTGACAAAGTCTATATGTCTCTAATGCTCACAGAGGTTTTATTTGATCAAAGATACTGTGAAATATTATTACAATTTAAAATGAACGTTTTAATACATTTTAAAATGTGATTAATTCTTATAAAGCCAAAGCTGAATTTCCAGCAGCCATTACACTCCAGGCTTGGGTGTCACACGATTCTTCAGAAGTCATTCTAATATGCTGATTTTCTCAAACTTTTGAACGATTGTGTATTAAGTATTTTGTGAATGTTACAAACATGCATTTACATGCTAAATGAAGCTTTCATATAGGCTTTATACTTTGCAGTAAGCATCAGTACTTACTGATGAGCTCACACAGCTCATGTGGCAGCTTCCTCTTGCCTGTCGCAAGTACTTGTCGACCTACGTCTTCAAAGATGACCGGTCGTGACTCCAAGTTCATCATGAGCATGGATTTCAGTTGCGTCTTGGCTCTCTCTAGCTCCATCTGCAAAAGTGAGAGATTTCAGGTTATGAACACAAATTCACAACGAGTCAAGTCACCTATGATGTGATGACATGTGATCATCTTTTTTTT